CTAGAAAATGACATTGTTCAGGCTTACAGGACTCCTTTCTCCTTTTTTCCTTAAAGGCCTTTGAATTATGTGGATTTCTGACACCTTCTGTCTTTAAGCATTCCTGTGGCATCTTCACATCTTTGAGTATGAGCAGCTCACAGTAATTTTATTTTAGGCCTTAAATAAAGGTGCCTTCGCTATAAACAAGCTTCCTATTATTCCATATCCTAAACAAATCAAGTAATATCACACATGTGATTGCACAGCGATGCTTGCTAGCTTGGGAGTAATGGAATTTTTTTAACCAATCTTCTTTTTTTTTTTAATATGAAACTCTGTGGTCTAGCATGTAGCCAGTAACATGTCTGCCACTGACATGTTCTGTGGCCATAGCCAAGTTATTTAATTTGCTTTGCCATATGTAATATTTTCCTCTTTCAAAGGGGCTCTGTGAGTATAACTAAGGCATTTGAATCCCTTGGATATACTCTGACAGTCTGGCCTAGAAAAGGCAAGGGAGAAACTGTGAATTGCTGGTGTGTTGCATTTTGATGTTATCACCTACTTCTGCCATCCTGCAAAGCAAAAGTTTTGTGGAATGGGATGTATGTATTTCCAAGGGGAACCACTTAGCCTTGTTCAAGAGTAAGATGGTCAGCTAATAACCTGCCCTGAGGAAGGTACAGCACATAATTGCAATGCCCTGCCTAGAAAACATCAGGGACTATCTTGAGGTTTATAAGGCTTATCTACACAACATCTAGGCTGATTTCTGCATGGAGGCCAAGCAGTCCACCCCATCCACTTGTTTCTACTCTGCATGCACTGGACCCCAGGGATGAAGTAGTATGACTGTCTTCAAATGGTCCTGAGCACGTGCCCCAGTGTTGTTTTCAGGCTCTCTCTCTTTCACACATGGTTTTTGGGTAGGGCAGATTTGGAGTCTTAAGTCTGAGCCTTGGCATGCACTGAGCATATTGGCCTGTGAAATATGTTCCCTGGTGGTGGGATTGGCCTTTTGTGATTGGTCTGCAAAATGGGAAGATGACATGTGCCCTGGTGGTGGTCCCAGGGAACAACATGGGGACAGTATAGACACACGGCCACGATGTCTCAGTGGCAATATGTTCCCTGGTCCTCCCTTGCTTGGGGGAGGAAGCCATCTGCTTATTGTCTTGCACTCCTGCCTTCCTATTAACTGACACACTGAAGAGGGATATGAATGGCACCCGCTCCCGGTTCAGTAATGATATGCCACTGAAAGCTATTCTCTCCTTCCACACAGACTGCTACCTATGATATAAGTGCCTGAAGAGGGAATAAAGAGGCACCTTCCACCTCGCATGAAGGCTGAGACCTCTCTCTCTCAGCAACTCCCAGTTACAGTGGAGAGCATCATTAAAACAAACAGACGCGCAAGCTCAAGCCACCTCAGACATCCAAAGAGAGACGGATTCAGGCTCATTCCATTTTAGTGCTCTATTTCCTGAGTTGTTGCGTGAATGATCCCAGTGTCTTTGCCTTTACAACCTTGCCTGATAGGCCATTCTGCACATTTATTATCCTTGATGTGAAAAAGTGCTTCCTAACGTCTGTTCTAAATCTGTTTTAATTTCCATTTATGCTCCATTGTCCTATAATCTGTTTGGAGCTGAAAATAGAACCAAGGTATGATCCTCTTACAACCCCTGGCAATAAATTTTATTAGTATTTTTTTTTCCAAACTTCACAACCTTGCAGTAAATAAGAAAGCTTTATGGGTAAAAATAACCTCTATCCTCCTCTACTCTCCCACCCATCCACAAACCCCATGACCTTTATATACTTTAACCAATATCATTGTTCCCCCCCGGCTCACCATATTTTTAACTCCATATTCCTTTGGTTAAAGGATAAAAAGCAGTTATAGGAGTATTTAAAAATGGAAGAAGTTTTGCATGCTGGCAATGCATCTCTTTCACCAGCGTCTGATGGAAGAAAAAAAAAATCTCCCAGCTGCTCTGTAAAGCTTTCTATATGCAGTTTGAAACATCTGGTTTGTTTTGTGTACAGTCTTTTATACAGGGTATTTGCAATTCTTTATTCAAATTGGATTTTTAGTTCACTTTCAGGTAGAGAAAGTGTTCTGCTTGTGTTTAATAAGCATGGCCAATTAATATATATGCAATTAGAATTCAAGTATTGGAATTGGGTGGAGACCCCCTCCGTGACATACTTTCATTTAGTCTGATCTGCAATCATAGGCTGAAGGGGTCCTTAGTGAGTTAACACAGCTCAGTCCTGATGGACTCTGACATTGTTCCAACATGGGATATTTATTTGCATGACTGGCAATTAGAATTTGTTGATTTCAAAAAGGAAATCCTTCCCCGGATACTGGTGTTTTACTCCCGAGGCTGGCGTTGGACAGGAAGAGCTGTCAAGGCACCGATCCCACATCTGGGTTGGAGGGGGAGAAAATAATTATTTCTATTTCTCCACAGTAATTTCTCTAGATCAAGGGTACAAATGGGCTCTTCAGAGAGTTCATGCCAGTCCTCTTTAGCAGGAGATGTTATGGTTAATTGTTGTGACATGAAACATTTTTGATGATCGCAGTGAAGAATGCAATGTCAAATTTTACCAGAACACACTCTGCCAGAGTTGGGTGCTGGATCTCAGTCTTGTGGAGGCATCGGGAGAGGTTACATTTGGCATCAGAGCGAGCTCTCAGGCTGGCCTTGATGACACTGAAATTCTGCCACCTGTTCTCATAAGACATCTGCTTAATGTGCAATGCTCATGAAGGCAGCTGACCACATTGTGCTTCAGCCGTCTTGGGCTGCACCTACAACCAGAAGCGAACAACAGTTCCTCTCCTGTTGGGATCTAACCCAGAGCCAACAAAACCCAACACCAGATCACAAAGTATGAGTTCAGTGCAGTCAACTTTGACTTGGCCATATGAAGGTTGCTTTTGGTTTGCCTCTGATGAAGCAGGTCTCGGGGTGAGGGAGGCATGCATAAAATCAGAGTAGGGACGATGGCAATTGACCAAGCCTACATACCTCCTCAGCACATGGCAGGGTATTAACAAAAGAGCAGGGTAGAGAAGGCCCAGCAAAGCATAAAGGAAGATTAGCCCAGTTGTTAAAGGTTTACTTGGAGCGCTGGGCTCAAGTATCCAATCTGCCACAGGTTCCCTCTGTCACCTAAAGTAGGTCCTTGAGTCTTCCTGTCCCTCAAGACTGCCTATAAAATGGGAATGATAGTGCTGCTCTGCCTGACATGGCTGGGGAATTACATATAAATAGGATGAATCATTAAAATGATTCATAGGGGCTCAGAAGCTGGGATAATAAGGAACACATAAGAACTCAAGCTAGGCACTCCTCTTAAAAATACTTAGTAAGGAGGGAACAGTGGAGCAGGGGAAGGGGACAAAAGGAATAAAAACATTGAGGTGCACGGATGAAGAAGGAAGGCAAAATGCTTTTCAACCTCAGTTTCTCCTGATTTTTATCTCTCTCTCACACTCTGACCCTGTAGCATTAAGGATACTGGGTCCTTGCGACTGACTAAAATGAACATGGAAAGGAGGGGTTATCACTAAGGAGGACTATTCAGCAGTTGCTCGGGGATGTAGGGGGATGGTTAGGAAGGCCAAGGCAGAGATGGAACAGGGGCTGGCTTCCCAGATTAAGGACAACAAGAAGTCCTTTTTTAAGTACATAGGGAGAAGAAAGAAGGCCCCAGGAAATGTGGGGCTCTTGCAGGACAAGACGGGGAATCTGGTTGTCACGCCAGACGACAAAGCCAACATATTTAATAACTTCTTTGCCTCTGTCTTCCTCAGTAAGGACCAGAACTGCCACCTCCCTGC